CTAGTTCTCATCATTTTAGGGCTGAAAAGTAGAAGTGTTTATATTGGCGCATAATGGGACAATTTTCACCGATACAAATATGTCCCCAAATGCCTACATCGGTCTAAAATATTGACCTTTCTGATATACATGTATCTGTAGGGGCCAATACTCCAATACTTAGTATTGCCACGGGCTCTACGAAGAATAGATGTTGGAAATCAGTCTCAGCTACTGCACCACTGGATTACAGGCCAACATCTGTAACATGGACTGAATTATAGCAATTATTGTGTTTTTTCAACATCACTTGACTGTAGCAGCCATCATGTATTGGGTTGATTAAAAAAAAAAGGTTATTCAGTTGTAGAGTTTGTTTATAATTACCATAATACACCATTCAGTGGGCATAATTGAATTAAAACCTCTTTGATGAAGCAAATTTAACAAATAGCAGATTCACTGAAAAGTTTAAACCTGTAACACTTCAGACTTTCAATAAAACCTATTTTGAGCAAGACTACCAAGAGTAATTTTATACACCTATTAATCTGTGTTATTTGGGAGACGGATACATCTAAGAGCTAAACACCACACTGCAGTTGTTGTTTATTCAGAGATTTGTGTTTGATGCATTTGCTAATGGCCAAGCAGTTGCCCTCACTATGTAATCAACCCTAAAAACTGAAACCACGAGTGATCAACAAGCAGTGTGACCCACTCTAAGATCAGGTTTCTTCTCAGAGCACGGCTCAGCTGACCTCTGCTTTTTGATTTCACAACCCACTTTTTCCGTTGTCGTGTTGTTGTTGTCGTTGTTCTGGAGACACATGTGGTGTAACATAATGCTGAGTTTTTCCTAAAAGTCACAGACATGGTGTTTATTATGCATCCCAGTCACCCTTTCTGTGGCAGCAGGACTTAAGACGACACGCGATCAGATACCTTTACTGTGCAGAGGATGACTCAGCGATCAAGCTCTAATAGAAGCCTTTGTGGTGGTGTTAATATGTGAAAAGAGAGAGTCCTCCATATGGACAGATGTTAGAAACTTGACTTTTTAAATAATCAAAGAACCGTGTTGATGCTGAACTAGAATATGATTTTTGTGTAGCTGCTAGTAAGTTAATGAGAGTAAATCCTGTTTATATAGTTTACACTGTAAATTTAGCACTTCAAGGATTACTTTACAATTTAACAAGCTTAAAATTAGCCATCTCTGTTTTTATTATGAAATCAAATGCAGTAATCAAATTGTGCACTGGTTCCTGCTACATCCTTTTTCTGCGTATGTTGTACAGCTCCTTTTTAGCAACAAAATTTGAATAGTGTTTTTGGTCAACTTAACTCCTCTGTTTCCTCAATGCATAAGTGCTCATATTTGAGCAAAGAATAAGGTTTTGATGACTTTAAGATTAAGTTTCCAAAGTTTAACAGGACTTACTCAACATCACGCACACAAAAAACTAATATAAACCAAGTAACTATAATAAAAACTAATGTTTAAGAAGCATGGGAGACAAACATAGATCAGGTGTTTCTCAGAGTTAATGCAAGAGCCACTAAGACTTCAAATGCAGGGCATTTCAGGAACACCACAAAACTAATAAAACAAGAATAAAAAGGCTGACATGACCATCAGTGAAGCTGTTATTCACTCCATGTTCATGATTAGTTATTTATAATTTTAAATATTAAAATTATTATTTTTTAACTTTTTAATCCTAGCAGGTCAGCATCTAAACTGAAACACTTTTATATTATTTATATGGATGGATGGATGTTTTGGTTGGGAGGTGTTTTGCAGACACAATTAACTCTCCTGGTTTTTAGCTGACGTCATCAGTTTGTTGACATGGACACGTTAAAAACAAGCGTTTATTCTTGCTGTGACTCACAAACTGATCTGTTAAATAACACTAGCAGCGCAAAGCATGGCAACGCGAACACAATAACTTAAATTGTGAAAGGATCTTCGCGTTTACTTGGTTGAAATCGAGCGTTTTGCTGTGCGCGCGCCCCCGAGACAGCGGGCACTTTCGGGGGTACCTACCTCGACGCAACACCGCATTGGACCGCGCAAATGTCTCCTCCCCTCCAGCTTCAGGATTTACCGCAGCCTGCTGCAGACAAATGAGAAAGTGGCGCCGAGCAGATGGTGGTGCACCTGCCGGGTCACAGTAAAAACCTGTCGGACTTTTTGCAGTTTATTTTATTTATTTATTTATTTTATACCACCACGCTCTTCTGTGTTTGTGGTGAAAATCGACACTCCTCTTTCAGGTCGTGATGCGCTTCGCAAACAAAACGTCAAATTGTGACGTTACTTTAGTTTCTGTTTTGTTCTAATTTTCATTTATTTATTATTATTTGGCGTTTGAATAACTTCACTCCGGAGCGATCTTCTCCGTATCTCGTCAGCGGGTTTCGGCAGCTCCAGCCCCGCTCCTGCGCGCCCCCTTCGCCGGTCGGCTCCGGAGCAGCAGCGATGCCTCCCGGCGTGGTGACCGCCCCGCGCAGCGCCTCGGCCGGCTGCTTCTGCGCCTGCTGCGGGCTCAAGACCAGACCCCACTTCACCGAGAACTCCGTGCTCTCCCAGGGCGAGATTTATCAGCTGTAAGAAACATTGCGTGTTTTAATTTGACTGAGACACTTTCAGCTCATATTCTCGTTAATCTCACTTTCCAGTAAATAATCCCAGTGGGCTTGCATGACAAAGGCTTGTGGTTTTTCCCATGACTAAAAAGAAAAGGATATGGCACCACAGTTTCAGAAGAATGTAGTTTCCTTCCTCTTGCGTTGTAAGAAATCTGTTTGCCAGATGCCTCACCTGCTCATGCACAGTCCCCTGCATGCACTGTTTTTATCATTTTGCTGTGCTTGAAATGCATCTATAGAGGGCACAGGCGAGCAAAGGCACACCATGTACTCCAGACAGTTGTGCAGGATGTGGTTAAATTGTCAGCCTAAAAAATGCTGGGGATTGACACTTTTATGTTTAATTAGTGAAACAGCTCAACTGCACATATTCATTCATCAGCACTTGAACGAGATGTGGAGTTTCAATCTGAATCTGTGCAAACTCAGCTGTCAGATTTCCCTCTCACGTGCGTGCATGCATTTTGCAACCATGAAACAGATTCCAGCATTTCTTTTTTTTTTTTTTAAATGGCATGTGTCTTTTGTCATCATGCTGTCAAGTGTTTTCTAATCCTTTTTAATCCTTGAATTGGTTTGAGGATGATGTGAAGGTGTTTTTCTTGTGAGGAATTTAACTTTGTGGTTAAATTATGTTTGGAGAGAGATGTGTTGTCTAACTGACAACCAGCCGGCTCCAGAGGAAGGGACGTGCCAAAGACACCATCTTAGCACCAACATAACTGGTTTGTTCCACTTTGGAGTAAGCTGTTTGGGGGAAGAATCAGTCTTGTATTGTGTGTTTCCTTGACTGATGAAGCCTTCGGGATGGAAGGTGAAACGTTTCAGCAAAAAAAAAAAAAAAAGAAACTGTCCAGATGACCTGACTGAAAATTGTTGGATTGCATACCTGGATTGTTGAGCATGGACTTTTTTGCCTTCCATAAATCTCTACTTTTGTCGCATCAGTAAAACGACTTCCTTATAGTCATAGTGTAGTTATTGCTGTCTGTTCTGTCTTTGTTTCTCTCCTCCTGTCTGCTTCCTCCTCGGCCTGTGTTCTTTATCATGACCATCATAAAGAATGACCAGTATGGATAGGTGCTTGTGAAAAATCTGCTTTTCTCTTCATTGTAACAAGAGTTTCACTTTCGTGTCAGTTGATTCCCAACAAAGATGTAGTTTGTTAAATACTAAGTGTTACCATTACAATAAAGAGTAAGAAGTTCTAAATCACAGGAACACATTGAGCATTTTAAGTCCATTATATAACTCAATTGTTGACGGCGAAGTCCTGCCAAAGAGCTTAGCTTGAGTTGCCAAGTCCAATTTAGGTAGTTGTTCACGTTGGAGACAAAGGGATGAAGCCAAAGAACTTCAAGTCTGACAAAGTTCATTTAAAGTGAAATAGAGAGAAATCATTCTTTTCTAGTTTTAAATTTTTCTAAATCCAGTATGTCTTTTGTGTCGTCATTTTCTAAACGTATCAAGTTCAGTAAAACAAACTGGAAGTGTCGGGTTTTTGTTTGATGTGTTTAAAGTTAGTAAAGCTTCTCTATATTGCTGTGTGTGGTAAGGTTTGTTTGTTTAAGATGTCACGTTCGTTTTCTAACTTAACATGACTTCAAACCTTTTAGAGATGCAGCCCACATTTCTAACAAATTTACCAGAAACTGTAAAACACTCATTTATGCTTTGATTTGATCTTGATACAGCTGGGGAATGAAAAAATAAATGACATGAACAGGTATGACGTTGTAGAAAATTATGAAATATGATAATTGAAAATGAAAAGAATTTAAGGTAACATTTTTATAATATTGTCCAAGAAGTGTTTGCAAGTCAAACGTTTAGCGTTATGTAATAAAACAAGAACTAAAGATAATTTCTTTGCGCTGGCCAAAATGGGTTAGTTAGACAACCTTCTCCCCCACCACCACACAATGAAGCAATCTTCGTCTTTCGGCTTTTCCCTCTTCAGGAGTCACCACAGTGAGTCGTCCTCCATCTTCTGTCCTCACGCCAACTACCTCCATGTCCTCGTATTATGGTTTTGGCAAAAGTGTTTCAATCAGATGCCCTTCCTGACACAACCCTCACCATTTATCTGGGCTTGGGACTAGCACAAGAGATACACTGGCTTGTGCTCCCTAGTGGCTGGTTTACACAGTGAAGCAATGTTACAACCACATTCTCCTTCAGAAACAAGTGATACAGTTGATTAGCAGATTGTCTTTTTGTCAACAGATTTGTCAAGTTGAATTTTAAATAACTACCTGCTTTTTAAAAAGTAAATGCACAGTAAAGTCAGCTGAAGCTGTGAAGACTTTAAGGTGCCCGTGTGGTTGGTTATTGCTCATTCGAACGTTTCTCTCTACCTGCAGCATCAGTGAAAGTTTCCTGACAGTTAAAGGAGCTGCTCTCTTCTTACCTCGAGGAAATGGCTCTTCCCCTTCGGCTGCTTCTCACTTCTCTCAGCTGCGGAGCAAACATGCAGGTGAGGGGAAAGCTGCCTGAGAACTGCATGCTTTATGTGTTGGGTTTATAAAGCGGCACCATTCCTCTGATCATATTTGTCTTCCTGACAGGAGACATCCAGCAGCATCTACAGACCATGTTCACTCTGCTCAGACCAGAGGACAACATCAAGCTGGTGGGCACACGAAACTGTTTGAAAACACAAACCGTGTTGCGATTGTCAACGAGCCGTGGAGTCATCGGCTTGTTTTGTTTTTCTGCTCCAGGCGGTTCGTTTGGAAAGCTCCCACGTTCAGGTGACCCGCTACATGGTGGTGGTCTCCACCATCGGCCGTCAGGACACAGAGGAAAGCGTGGTGCTGGGCATGGACTTCAGTCCAGTAGATGGGTAAGGCAGTAATGCCCCAAATCTGTATGTCCATAACTTAACTATGCATAACTGTTTATTCATTCATTTTATTTATTGCTTGCAGCTCGTGTTCTGTTGGGATGGTTTTGCCTTTATGGAGTGACACCTTAATACACCTGGATGGAGATGGGTAAGAGCAACACTTCAGCAGCAGAGAGCACACTAAGCTAGCAAATATTTCTAATAAGCCTTATTTTTCATTCTACTTTTCCTGTTTTTTATGCTCTTAGGGGATTCAGTGTGTCAACCGATAACAGAGTTCATGTTTTCAAACCTGTTTCTGTGCAAGCCATGTGGTGAGTCACTGCATGATTTGCATATTTATGTATTTTGCTATTTACAATTGTGCATCTCATCTTATTAATGTTAATTAAAACCATCTTCCTGTCATCATTGATGGATATATGGATAGATCTTTCTTTATTTCTTTATTTACTTATTTATTTATTCATTCATTCATTTCTGGGGGAAATTTGAAACATCCAATACATGTTCTGAGACATGAAATAATCAAAAGAAGCAGAATACACAAATTGGGAAAAAGGCAATATGCACATGCACAAGGTGGTAGAGAGTACTACATTCATAATTAACCTATATATGTATACATACATACATATCTAAGCATACATATGCATGTATATACATATGTACATGTAATTCAGTTTTTAAACTTGTATTCTCTCTGAATTGATTGACAGGTCGGCCTTACAGTCGCTCCATAAAGCTTGCGAAGTGGCTCGCTGTCACAACTATTTCCCAGGCAGCTTGTTCCTCACCTGGGTCAGCTACTATCAGAGCCGGGTGTCGTCTGACCAGGCCCGCATCAACGAGTGGAATGCCATGCAGGATGTGCAGTCACACCGAGCCGACTCACCTGTGCTATTCTCTGACGTGTAAATATTGTTAATCGTTATCGTTATCGTTATTTTTTTTTTTTTGCTACATTTCTTTTCCCAGAAGCTTGACTGATTAATAAAATGTATAAAACATTTACAAATTTAGAATTTTTGCCTTCAGTGTTTTTATGCCGTGATGTTTCTGCAGACCTACAGAGCGAGAGAGGACCGAGCGCCAGATAAAAACCAGCTTGAGGGAAATCATGACGCAGAAAGATCTGGAGAATGTCACCTGCAAAGAGGCGAGTTTGTTTGGATCGCTTCGATTTGTGCACGAAAACCGACATGTTTGCTGTAGTCGTCAATTTTTAACTTAAAAATGCAGCAAAATCTTCATGTTTTGGTTTAATTTTGAACCCGTTTTGTTTTCCCTGACTGGATGTCTTGTAGATCAGAACAGAGCTGGAAATGCACATGACGTGCAACCTGAGAGAGTTTAAGGAGTTCATCGACAATGAGATGATTATCATTCTCGGCCAAATGGACAGTCCTACAGAGATCTTTGATCACGTCTTCTTGGTAATTTGACAATGAATGTTTCTGGGACACCTCACTTTTACCAACACTAAAGAGTAAAAACCATCAGAAGTTGTTGCGCTTGAAAGACTCATTTCTACTTTGTTTTCAAGCGCTTGAAACTCTTAAACAGCCTTGTGTTGTTTTAACACGATGTGCCCAATTTCAAGGTGCTTTGTCTTGTTTGGTTTGGGGTGTGTACTTTATGTCAGGCATGCTTTGCCACTGGATTTAAAAATGATGAAAAGCTCAATGGACAAGTCTGAGGATTGCTTTTATTTCCCACAGGGGTCTGAGTGGAATGCATCCAATTTGGAGGAGCTGCAGAAGAGCGGGTAAGGAAGAGCAAAAACAACAGAACCCACTGTGCTGGTCACTGCGCAGGAGAGTCAGGACATAGAACTCATCTGAGGAGATTATTATCCTAAAATAATGTCTTCTACCAACCTTTGTCTCTTTCAGAGTTCAGTACATCCTGAATGTAACGAGGGAGATTGATAACTTTTTTCCTGGTCTGTTCGAGTACCACAACATCCGTGTTTATGATGAGGAGGCCACTGACCTGCTGGCCTACTGGAATGACACCTATAAGTTCATATCTAGAGCAAAGTGAGTCTTGCAAAACTCAAATTGTCATATCCAAGTATTTATTTTTACCACAGAGTTGGGATTCACTCGTCGTATTGCTGTGATCACTTTGCATCATTGTTTATAGAACAAACTGATCTCTTTACACAACTGGATTTAAAAAAAAAAGTAAACTAAATCACTGCACTCCCTCAACACTGTGGGAGCAGCTTACTTAAGCCAAATGAGAAAGAAGTCGAGCAGACTGGAGAAGGCTCACAACAAATCTGAAAGTTAAACTGGACAATCCACTACAGCTGCAGATTTACATAAATAAGAATATATATTGCATTATTAGTTTTGTATTATAAAATTTATTACATCTTTGTTCACAACATAAGTCAACTATTTCGTGTAATTATAGTATATTTTTAAGGATTTCTTTGGAATTCTTTCTATTTCTATTCTTGAAAGTAACAGGATGATAATTATTACTTTTCTTTGTGCCTATACCAGGAAATCTGGGTCCAAGTGCCTGGTGCACTGTAAGATGGGAATAAGTCGCTCTGCAGCCACAGTCATTGCCTATGCCATGAAGGAGTACGGCTGGGATCTGAAAAAGGCCTTCGATCACGTCAAGGAGCGTCGAACCGTGACCAAACCCAACCCTTCTTTCATGAGGCAGCTGGAGGAGTATCACGGTATTCTGCTGGCCAGGTACACACAAATACTCAAGGATGGCAGTACATTTAGATACTAAATATTATGGAATACATAATAAAAAGAACATGCTGGAGAAAACACACTATGTGCTTGACTTGTTCAGAAGAATAAGATTTATACTCGGTGTTGAGCATTATGGAGTTTGATTTTAGTTAATGATGAGGAAATTAAACTGGAATGTAGAAAAATTGTTTATAAACTCTTTTCAGCATCTTGTATTCTAAAAGATGAAAATCTGAATTTCCACCTAATTAAGTCTTCAGTGTAAAGTTTCAGCCATCAGCATTAAACTTTTTTTAGTTACTGACTTGAAACTCACAAATGCTTCTTGATATTTTTCATTTTTTTCTCTCTCCACTGTTCACTTTACTGAAATGTTGTTCTTCATTTTGTGTGTATGCTGTGGGGTTTTATTTTTTCTGGAGCAAATTTATTTAAATATGCACAAATTAAAACATCAAACTTGTCTCTAATTCAGTATGTGTGTATATGTCTGCATGTGTATGTGAGTGTGTATAATGGTTTATTGGTACCTGTGCTTTGTGTGATTTGAGGTCCTTGTAATGTTTTTGGCCACTTTAAGTTGGCTGTAAAACACTTTCCTGTACTATTTATTAAATTGTAATGACAGCTGTTTGGAAAATGCATCATCTTGAAATTACAATTTAACAATGGTGAATCATCTGATGTGTTCCTGGTGCAAAAGCATACTTTAAAGGTAATAAGTCATGATGAGTGCTGTAAAATTGTTTGTTTTTGAAACGTTTGTTTTTAGAAATGTTTGAATAAAGGGGGCATGAACTGCGTGGGAATCCCATTAAAACAGGTTTATTTTATTACCGTTTCTTTTTTTCTACAGCAAGCAGAGGCACAACAAACTGTGGCGTTCTCACTCTGATAGTGATTTGTCTGAGCATCATGAGCCTCTGTCTAAGTCCCTCGCTCAGCCCCACAGCCTGGGCCGTTCTGACCCCCATAACCAGGCGAGCATCACGCCGGGTCACTCTGTGAAAAATCTGCTGGAATCACTGGGAACTTTCACAGGAAAAGAAGCACAAGCTGGTGTCCGGTCCAATCAGCCTGACTCTTCTTCCTATGGAGGGGGGGCAGATCTGTCAGGGGATGCTGAACCTGGAAGCCTTGCTGATAAAGCCCCCAGCAGGCAGCTCGATTCATCTAGAGCTGGTTCTGCGTCTTCACCTCTCCCACTCTCCAATGGCCTCTGTGACTCGGAGGAGCAGCCCTCGTGCCCTCCTCTCTACCAGCCACGAGCTGCCACCGTGGTGCCTGAGCCTCACAGGACAGATATAAATGTTGCACAAAGCATTTTGGTGGGTCAGCCTCACCCGCCTCCATCTGTTCACCACCTTCCCCTCTCCCCCCCTCCATCCCCAGCATGCTCGGACGATGCCGTCAACACACAGGTGTTGTCCTGCTCTGTGATCAAACCAGAGCCAGTGACGGCGCAGACACGGAGCACGCAACAGTCTCCAGTGCTCGCCAGAAAGACTGACGGTGACCAACAGACACATGGCTCATCCCTGGGAGGTGACACAGCTCCCCCTCTATCCTGTAATGATTCTGTCATCCATCCCAGCACTGTTCCACAGGACAACGTGCTGTTGTTCGGACACAGCGCAGATCATATAAACTTCTTCAGTGCCAGGGAAAAGTTCAAGGGAATGAGCGATGATGGGAAACCTCAGTCTACTGTAGTACAGCAGGCTTCTCCGCTGAAGGCCTCTGCTAAAGAGCATCTATTGCTGACTCACGAAGTCCCAACAAGTGAGGGGAATGAGGAAGAAAAAAGTAAGGTAACTTGTTTTTATCATATAAACAATATATCTACATAAGCTTTAGGTGCTATAAGAAGCCTCTTTTGGTGCTTGGGTCTCCATTTGGGTGCATGTAAGAGTCATCTTGGACATGGTAAATCTGAAAAAGTAAAAAAACAAACAACAACTGGACTTCTATTTTGTGGTAGAAGACATTTTGCTTCTCATCTGGGAGGCTTTTTTTAAATTGAGAAAGTAAAACGTCTTCAGCTACAGAGAACTCCAATTGTTTTAACTTTTTTTTGAATGCACAAATGTTGTGTTTTCTAGGACCGTGGTTTCCAACCCTGGTCCTTGAGGAACACCATCCTGCGTGTTTTAGCTGCTTCCTTGCTTCGACACACCTGATTTGAATAATTTGGTGATAAACAGGCTCCGGCAGAACTTGAGGAAGTAATTAAATAATTGAATCAGGTGTGTTGGAGCAGGGAAATGGCTAAAACATGCAGGGTGGTGCTCCTCAGGGACTAGGGTTGGGAACCACTGTAATACACTGGTATAAGAGGAATTGAATTATTATTGTTATTTTTGTTCGTTTTTTAAATCCAGCCGTAGTTAAATATTTTCTTTTAAAATTGTTACAGCCTTTAATTTTTTTAAATAAAGTGCGCCATCTTGTAGCTTAAAGACACAATTCTACATGTCTGCCCGTTTAAATTAGATTTACTTACCTCTTGTCTCTATCTTTTATTTATTTTGTAGGAAATGCATTTTCCTGTGCAGGTCACAGAAGTGAAGCCCACTGAGACTTTTAGCCAACCAGAACCTCAGAGCTCCCACGAACAAGAAGTGTCAAAGCCGAAGCAGGAAGTAGAGGATCCAGATGTTTGCTCATCCACAGAGCTGAAAAATAAAGAGGACGAGGAAGGGGCACCTGCTCGTCTCTACAGCGACTGGACGAGGGGCTCTGTGCGGCGTGTCACGCAGCAGCTCGAGCAAAGGATGAAACAAAGTCACGAGACGCCGTCACCCTCCTCCTCTCTGCCGTCCCTTTCTGGGGGCACCTCCAGTTCTCAGCGGCGTCCGAACAGCATCCATTCAACACCAGCGTCCCTGGCACACGAGACAGCAGCTGTCCAGCAGGTGTCAGTAGATGGCGGTGAGCATGGGGGGGCAGACACCAAGTTTGGACAAGTTAAAATGGGGAATGCTCATGAGAATGAGACGGGACACGATGATAAAAGCACAACAGAACCCAAACTCCAGCCTGCTGATACCAGAGTGCTCTCTACCTCCGCTGCTTTCCAACATTCTGCCCCGTCACCGTTTGCCTCGGTGAACTTCCTCTGTTTGGAAGGCGTGACTGAACTGGAGTCAGGTGTGGACTGGGACTGCTTCACAGAGGGGTCCCACAGTGACATCATCATGAGGGACACATGGGAGACTTTGAATGAGCTGGGAGTCTTCTTGCACCAGGTAGGTGGAAACTGCAGGCCCAGGTGTGTGGGGAGCGCTCCGAAAGGAGGAAGCAGCTTCCAGAAGAAGGTGAGGGAGGTGGAGGCCAGGATTCGCCAGGCAGGCCTAACCCCTCCATCTCTGATGAAGCGCTCAGCCTCACTGGCCAAACTGGGCTGCCTGGAGCTTCTCGCCAATGATCTGAATGAGAGGGAGCTCAGCTGCTCTGCAACAACACCCTCGGCACAAGCTCCAGTCCACACAGTGGGGGATGAATCCAAGAAGCAGTGGGTCCACAGGTCTTTCTCCTCAGACAACAAGCAGCCCGAAGCCCTTGAGATGTCGGCAAATGATCTTTCAAAGTCTGCAGAAAGCTCACCAGGCGCCTCAATACCTTCAAATCCAAGCACACCGAGAGGAAAGCTGCTGAACACGGGTCAAGACTGTCTGCATTCATTTGGGCCGACACTTCTGACAACAAGGCAGCAGTACGGAAGGACTCACCCTCTGAGGCAGCTAAAGAAAAGAACTGTTAGTACCCAGTACCACACCATGTAACCCTCGCCTCGTGTGTCAGTGTGAGTGAGAAAATCAAGTGCATCTGTTGGATTTGTTCAGCAAAACCAATGCCTTTTGCCTTAAAGGGTTCCTTTAGTAGTTTTTGTACATTCTTTCCCCTTACAGGTCCTCTAAGACCTGTGGTGAAATCTGTGAACTCAGGCTCTGTCTGAGGGGAGTGGCAAAAGGCTGTGAAGGTTCCAATGAACTGCAAATAACACCAGGACCGCTAGAAATCAAAATAAGAAAATAAATAATTTACACTTGTTTTGAATGTGGATATTCCTGAGCCTGTACATACTCGGTGTACATCATTGCTGGTTTCTGTTTTGTCATTCTGATATTTACTTGATTGCAGTTTGGTGCAATGTATAGACTCTTTGTTTTGCTTGTTTTTGTTGTTAGTCTCTGGTTTATATTTGCTGGTTATGCTGCTGCTGGCCAACAGTAAAAAGTTTCCAATCAACAGATTTGTCAAACTGCCAGATTTGTCTCAGTTCATTGAAATTTGACAGATAGTTCTCGCCATACATACTCTTCGTCCCTACAAACATTGCAGATTAGTGTTTCTCTGTAAAAGAAAACGTTTATCCAGGAGGAACTGGAAACAATTGTTTACCACGTTTTGCAACAAAATGGAAAGAAATGCTACTTTTATTTTCAGCTGCTCGACCAAATCTGGCCCTCACGAGCATCAAGCCCTGGTTTCCTCTTTAATGGATAAACTGGAATGTTTTTTTGTTGTTCTCACAGTTTTGAAGCCACTCGTGATCTTTTCTTACACTTTACTGTTCGAACAGATTTGGGTACTGGGAGTTAAAAAAAAACGAGTGCACACTTGTGTTTCCTGCTGGTTTTTCTTTGGGATGTAAAGTCTTGTACTGTGAGCGCTGACGTTTTAGAAACTTTTTTTGTTTGTTTAATTATTTTTTAAACGTCTTTGTTTTGGTGAATGATTTGGCATAACTTCTGTGGGTGCGTACATTTTTTCATTTGTGAATGGATCTCTGTTGTACAGATTTAAAGCGTGTGCCTCTGACTGGCAAGTGAATCTTTTCTGCAATCAGAAATGTCTGGACAGGGACGTCTGTCATCCATGCACTTTACTCCCTTTTTTCATTTTTAATATGGCTTTCTGTTTGTGGGTTTGCTTCTTTTGGGGAGCATGCATAGGAAGTAGTGGGTGTTGGGTATATACGTGTGTGTATGTGTGTGTGTGTGTGTAGGAGAAGAGTCAAAATCCTGTCTTTGGGAGATAATTTTAATTTGTCATTGTAAATATTCTTTTATATAATGTGCATCAACTGTGACCATTAAAACAATGGAGTTTTTTACTCTCATTCTTTGCATATAAATGTTTTATTTTAGACATGGAAAATATAAAAAAGTCATTCACAATATTTGAAAATCCTATTTTCCAGTTGGATGCACCAACACTTCACAATGACAAGTTTAGTATGAAATGTGTAGATTAAAAAAAACAAAATACCTTAGCATCATTTGAAGTTGGATTGCTGTAATTTCCAGACTATAAGTCACTACTTTTTTCCCCACACACTGAACACAGCAGCTTATACAATAGTGCAGTAATTTATGGATTTTATTTATTTTTTGACGGGTTAATGAGCTTTACCAATACACGTCTCTCTTGGTGGGAACTCGTGACTCAGTGAGCCTACCTGTATAAATAAAGGTTTAAAAAACTGACCGATGAAATTACCAAACGGGGCACAGTGGACCAATGAAATGGGGAGGCCAAGTTCAAATACGTACAGTGTA